GCGTTTGGCTTGTTACTGTAGCAAGTTAGGTAGAAACTTCCCTTGTTAATCAGCCAAAGCTAAAAAGGCTCCAGTTCAGGGGTTCCTAAGCAGGGGTCCGAGCACACTGGTCTTCCCTGCTGCTAGACAAAAGGGGGGTCCTGCTGGGAAAAGGGAGTCATGCAGGACCCCAATCTAGTCCAGTGACCTGGTGCCTAGCACACTGCCCATGTTAAATCACACGACTGTGCCAGGAACAAGAGCCCGTGTCAGAGCGTCCCCCATCCATCAACCACCCCCGTGTCAGTCGCTGGTGTTTGTGAAACACCCATTTCTCTGTTTCCTTCTGCAACCCAACCCCTGCCGTGATCAAACCTCTGAAACACTCCAGCAGCCATCGGTCCAAAATGCGCCTGCTGCCTCCCGGCCTGTCAGACAGCAACAGTCCCTAGGGCGTGTTCCGAGTGTAACCCCCACACCTCCTGAGGGTCGTGTCTGTCCCCTCTCGTGGCACCGAGACCACTTAGAGATTAATGAGTCTGCTACAGCCTCAGTTAAAGGCCATATGGTTTTTAGCTCATTGGCTCATGCATTTAGCGCCAGAGGTCCCAGGTTCGATCCTGCCCGTCGGCAACCAGGTGTGACGTTATGAGTGTAATATACTATTTCATTGGAAGGTGACAGGGCCAGAAAGAGTTAATTAACTCACCGACTGACCTGACCCATGGCCGAACTTTAAGAGACTGGCTAGGAAGATCTGTAAATAAATAGAGCTTTAAAATGTAAGTCTGCATTGTTAGAGGTAGAAGGGGAGATGTTTGCTCACGGCTTGTAATGTAAGCAAACAAGTCTTGTCTATTACAATAGTTTTAATTCAAAGATCAAAAAAGGAATATTAACATTTGTGATGATACTTGAGTGAAATAGTATTATTGTCTCTCTGGCTCTTTGAAGGTTGTGGTAACCTGTATCTGAACTGTGTAATGGATAAATTACCCTGTGCTAATTGCCAGGATGTTTGGAAGGAGAGTTAAGCCTATTGTTTTCTCAGGCCAAAAGGCTGCTGGAAATGTATAAGAAGCCTGGGACACGATCCTACTTCATCTCAGATCTGCTTTGGGTTTCAAGAGGGGGAAACCTTAAGCCATAAGGATTGAGTCACTGGAGTCACCCTGAATATGGACATTGGACTATAACCTATGGACTATTTCTAAAAGCACTTTTGGCAACTACAAGCTCATCTCTGCTATGTATCTGAACCTCAAGAATTGAATTCAAGTCTGTCTGTATATTGATCTTTTAAGCAACACTCTCTCTCTTTTCTTTTATAATAAATTTTAGTTTAGTTAATAAGAATTGACTATAGCATGTATTTTGGGTCAGATCTAAGTTATAATTGAACCTGGGTGTGTGGCCGATCCTTTGGGGTTGGAAGAACCTTTTCTTTTATATGATGAGATGATGATTACTGAAAATCTTATCATATCTGACGTGTGTGTCTGGACGGAGGCCTGAGGCTGGGCACTTTAAGGGAACTGCGTTGTTTGGACTTCTGAGTAACCAGTGAGGTAACACAGAAGCTGTTTTGTGCTGGTTGGTAAATCTAAGTATTAGAATATCCACCAACATTTGGGGTTTGTCTGCCTCGTTCTGTTTGCAGTTCACCCTGATTGAGTGACCTCAGCTGGCTCCCATGGGCAGCATCGTCACACCGGGGTCTGTTGGTGTTACACTAGGAAGGTGTTTTCGAGGCTCACCCAGGAGCCCCTTTCTGCTGCAAAACTGTTTCATAAACTGTGGGCCCCCTTGTTAATTATGCAACCATCAGCCAAGTGTGCGAGGCTCCATGGTGATCCGTGTCCAGCCAGGGGTGGGTTACTGTGCCTCAGACTCACTGCGACATAGGCATTGCCAGACGGGATCAGCCTGAGGTACATCTAGGCCGGTCCCATCTTTGACAGGGGCCAGAACTAGGTGCTTCAGAGGAAGGCGTCAAAACCCCACAGCAGCAGGTGTGGGCTAATCTGCCCTGCACATGGATCTGATCCCATCTCTAATAGCTAGAGCTTGGCTTGAGCCCGGAAGCTGGAGTCGAGTGTCGCTGCCAATGTTTGCACCATTATTTCATTCAGCGCTCTGGCTAGTCTTGTTATCCAGAGAAACGGCCAATCCCGTTTTGAATCGTGCTCAATTCTTAGCCTCAACTACGTCCTGTGGCAGTGAGTTCCACAGGCTAGTTATGTCTCCAGTAAAAAAGTATTTCCACTGATCAGTTTTCAATGTCCCGTCATCCTTGTGTAAGGAGATGAGGGGACAGCAGCCCCCCACCTCCCTTGTCTAGGCCAGTCGTTATTTTATAGACTTTGGTCACGTCCCCTCTCCTGCGTCTGCTCGCTGCGGTAACCCTCCGAGTCGGTTCAATCTCTTTGCAGGAGAGTTCGTCCTTTGATCCCTCTCGCCGCCCTTGGCTGAAAGCCTCTCGTTCTGCCCTATCCTGGCTGCGAGAGGAGCCCCCGGCTGACACTGGATCCAGGGGTTGACAGCACCACTGATCGGCATGAAGGGAGTCGAATATTCTCTGTCCATCCCGGGCCTGTTGAATCCTGACTCACACAAGCGTTTCTGGACCCCGGCATTGCGTGGAGCGGAGATCTCCGTCGAGCTGTCTGCAGGGATGCCCAGGCCCTGCCCGGAGTGAGCCGGTTCATCGGGACCCCAGCAGGCGGACGGGGAGTTGCTCTTTCCCCGTCTAGCGGGTCTCACTCTGCATTTAATGAGCACGGGATCCCTGTGCCATTGTGAGCCCATTCGCCCAGCTGGGTCTGGGGTCTCTGAGCCCCTCACGGCCCCTTCAGCTCCTAACTAACCTCCACACCTTTGTGTCACTGGCAAACGTCGCTGCTCCCATGCTCCCCCCGGCTCCCCAATCACTAGTTAATATACTAGCCACAAGCCCCGCTGGTACCTTCTGTCGGGAGGAAAGCTGGCCACTTCTTCTGACACACCAGCCTGTCCTGAACACACATGGCCTGGCTCTCCCCTGCCCTTTGCTCCGTGACCTCCCTCACCCTGGGCACAGCGGGCACCGGATCAGTTAGCGCCCGACCCCTCTCGGCACGCGTGTAAGTGGCTGCACAAGGAGCAAGACACGGAAGCACCAGCCCCCGGATACCGAACGTTCCACGGCCGACAGGGCGCCGTGGTAACCGGCTCCTCGAGCAGCGATCTGCACGCACAGGCCCCGGCCTAGCCTCTGTGGGGCTGCAGTGCACAGGCGCTGGTCACAGCACCTCGTTACCCAGCTGCAGGCCATGCAGCCCGAGGACAGAGAGCCGGTGCCTAGGGTTACCGTATTTAAAAAATAAAAAAAAAGGACACTCCATGGGGCCCTGGCCCCGCCCCTTTCCCACCCCAGTCCCGCCCTAACTCCACCCCTTCCCCAAAGTCCCCGCCCTAACTCCGCCCCCTCCCCTGAGCGCCCCGCATTCCTCCTCCTCCCTCCCAGCCACGCGAAAAGGGCTGCCCGAGCAGTGGTAGCCGGGGGTGGGGGGGTTGTTTCAGGACCATCACTGGAGGGGGGTTGAGGAGGAGGGGGAACGGGGTAACACCATGTGGTGTCTGCCCCTGGGGGCACCTCCTTGCTGCTGACTGCTGCCATAAGCCCTGCCCTTCCCAGCCAGCCCCCTCTCCGGCTCTCACAGCCTGCTCGCACTAGGAGAGCGCTCGTCAGTGGGACGGGTACTAGCCTGGCCCCTGCGGGAAGCCCAGGGCCCCCGGGCCAGCCCCCTCTCCGGCTTTCACAGCCTGCTCGCACTAGGAGAGCACTCGTCAGTGGGACGGGTACTAGCCTGGCTCCTGTGGGAAGCCCAGGGCCCCCGGGCCAGCCCCCTCTCCGGCTCTCA